GAGAGGAGCTGTCGACATTGCAGAGGTGTTACGGGGTTACTTAGATAATATGTGTGAAGTAGAACTGCAGCATTAAGCAGAAAGATTAAAAACATTTGATCTGCTAGAAGAAGGTTCTGGGCTAATTAGACTGCCCACTTGGCATCTTAGAAGGGAGACCCCTCCTTTGCTTATTAGCATCATGAAATTATTCTAAGATAGTGCCATCTATTTTTATAATTTGAAGCATGTACTTTTCTGCAAAACTGTTTTATTCCTTATGCAGCTTAGTCAGTTGATAACTTCAGTGTGAAAAGCTAGGAATATTTGAATGTTGTAATCAAATGTCACAGATTAACAGTAGATCAGAAATACATGAACTAAAATGAAGCGGACACTGGCTAACAGTTCTTATTCAGAGCTCCATTTGTTTAGCGACTTTCCCATTATTTTCTATGCCTATCACATTGTCCTTTATGAGGGTTGGAACCCTAATTGTGTTGAGGTGACATGCACAGTAGCTTACTTTTAATACACAAGTTGCAGAGCTTTCCTGTATACTTTTTTTCTACAGATACCAAAGATATGATTGCCATATGTGCAGAGTTATCAAAGCAAAGGAACATAGGAAGTGGTCTTTTATGCCAAGCCAAACGGTTGGCCTGTTTAGCTTGCTGTTGCCTACAGTGATTGGCATTGGCTTTCTCAGGTTTAAGACAGGAGTCCTTCCCCGAGCTACTGGGAGATACTGGGGTTTGAACATGGGACCCTCTGCATGCAAAATATGTGCCCCGCCTCTGATCTGCAGCCCTTCCCACAGTAGAGCAATGGCAGGAGTTGGACCTGCCAGAAAAAAATAGCAGGTAGTGCTGCCAACATGCTCAGTCTCCTTTAATCTGTGACTGTAGAGAGCTCTTCTGAAGAGGAGAGAGTGCTAGATAGTCCACTTTCTCATTCCCAATCCAACACTGGCTCACCACTGAAATGAGTATCTTGAGTCAGATCAGGGACAAGAACATATGAATTGTGCACAAATGTTCTATCCACTCTTAAACCTCTTTGGCTATTAAAAAACAGATTGATAGAAAAAGTTGAAGTAAAGTACTTTTTAGCTGCACTGGTATGCATACTTTGTTGTTGCTAGTCGCGAAGTCACATCCAACCCATCACAACCCCATGGACAACATTCCTCCAGGCCTTCCTGCCTTCCACCGTCCCCTGGAGTCCACTTAAGCTCACACCAACTGCTTCAGTGACTCCATCTTGCCACCTCATTCTCTGCCGTCCCCTTCTTTTGCCATCAATTGTTCCCAGCATTAGGGTCTTCTCCAGTATGCATACTTACCTGAGAGCAAACACCATTTGAACACGGGCATGCTGATTTCAGAGTGAACATGTATAGAATTGTTCTACCATACTCTGTAGCAGTGTTGAGAGACTTCCAAACAAATATTATTTTAAATTATGTAGAATGTAACTGATACTTGCTGCATGTCAAATGAATTTAGTTGAGCAGTAAATGGAAAATGATGCTTTTCTGATTGTATAGGACCATAGCATGTATTATATTAGAGCATTTGGCATATACTGTTAATTGATAATACATTTAAGCAGTACCTTTATTGAGTTCTGTATAGATTTCAGTATAAACATCAGTCATAAATCTCCAGGAGGAAATTAATGACTGAGTGATCTGACATGGAAAGCACCATTGTTTCTCCCCTCCCCTTCATTCTTAGCTTTAAGTCAGTTTGTATTCTGCTGTTTTTCCAGCAGAGGGCTCTCCTTCTAAGCTAATAATAACCAGGATTCCTGTAATTTTTAGTGAGTAAAGTATCTCCCAAATTTTGTCAGTAATTCTTATTTCTGAAATAGACACCAGATATTTCTTTGTTTTTTATTGTATGTGTAACTACATAGGCAGTCGTGGCAGTTGGATACTGAGTTAAATGTACTTCACTTAGTCTCTGCTTCAGAGGCCTTGTAGATTCAGTCTCCCAAGCACCATCTACCAATTATCCAAGCAAATGCTACAAGAGGTGGTAATATCTTGCTGCATATAACACTGTATAAAAGAATAAAGTTTGCTGCAGGCATAAGTCACAATCCAGCCCCTTTCTGCAATTGTTGCTTCCTGCATGCAGAGCCATGCACATATAAATGAATTCCATTAATGCATCGTCCTTTATACATGTGCAGAGTCATATGTGTGCATTGCTGCCTATAGGGAAAGGGCTAAATTGGGCCCGGACAAGTACCTGGAGCAGCTGTAAGTCTATGTACTGACTCCTGAAGGTGCCTGTGCATTCTATGGCAGCAGTGGACTCTTCCTTGAAATGTTAAGAACTTAGCAATTCATTCCGTTTTTCATCATGACACTTAAATCACATCCAAGTGGAAGATACAAATGTGTCTCCAGTTACTTTTCCTAATGAATGAAAACTAGATTCTTGTGTGGCCATCTAATTTTAAGCCAATGTGTAGCAAAAGGCAAAAAAATATGAAATGTGTGTGCAAGTAACATATCTAACCCCCACCCTCACCCCATTTCTGCCTAAATTCTGGACTTTTCTTTAAGTTCTTTCTTTCTTCAACTTGCTTACATTGTGATCCAGTGAGTATGTGCTTAAGATAAGCAACACCAGTTACTACACAAGCATCACGTCACCAAAGATGTATGGTTATAAGCCAGTACAAAAAGAAAACAGGGTGAGGTTCAGGGTATTGTATTTTAACCAAAAGAGGAGTGGGAAGCTTGTTCAGTATCAAAAATTTCTGATGCCTTTGTGCCTTTGTCTAATACACCAAATTAAGTTTGCAGAACACTAAGTATGGAAAGTAGTTCCATTGTGGCTGCAGTAAGAGGAGGGAGGAGAGAGGAAAGCAAACCTGCTGCTCTAGGGAAGAAGCACTGCACAGCTTTTATTGGCTCTTTGGGTATACAAGCAGTTTGGCTAGAGGGCAGGGCCCCAAGCATCATGACTCTAACACCCAGGAGAATGACTGAAGGCAGGGTTCATGCCAACCGATGAGTACAGTCCATAAGCATCCAGCACCAGAGGGATTGTATTAAACACTGCCAATTTCAGGAATATCTTGATCATGAGTAGCCGTCCACTTCCCAAACTCCCTAAGCAGGCTCCTTTAAACATTTGTAGGAGTCACTCTCCCAACTGCTCCTCTTTTAAATATGCTGAGAACAGATTGGTTCAATTCTGCCTGTTCCCTGTGTCCCCGTTCACCCTCAAGCCAGTAGCATGGCGTCACCTCAGCAAGGGATTGGGCTGCCATTAGAAAGCGAAAGCAGCCAACCAGTATGCTTCTTGCCACTTGAGTTCCCCAGTACCTCCTACAACTGTAGCCACTCCTGCCAGATACAACAATGTCCCAGTTGAAAGGTAAGAGCAGGAATGCCCAGCGTATTTGGGCATTCCATATACTAGAATATTTTTAAAGATCCAGTAGCTGACACATTTGTATGTGCTAAAGTACTTTGCATTATTTGACTGGTCCCTAGTGGGGGTCCCTAGAAGTGTCCTTTTTTTCTTGAGTATGTTGATGGAACATAAATGGGAGAGGTTATCTCAACACCTTTTTGCCTTTGATTGAAAGTCTGTGGCTTTATTCTTTGCATTTATATAATTCTTGACAGGCTAGTAATTTAATACAAGGATTACTAAGAGACTGTTCTTTATTTCACATTTGCACATCACATGCAGCATAATTCATTTGATGCAATCACTTCATGCCGGAGTCCTTACCTTGCACTGTGCAGCTTGACCACATTTGACCAAAATAACGCTTGCACTTAAGGCTGCAATCCTCACACACTTACTAAAGAGTAAGCTCCATTAGAAAGAGTGAGACTTGCTTCTGAGTAAGCATGCACAAAATTGTGCTGTGTGTCATTGGAAAGCTCTGTAGCAATCTATCAAGCTGAAACTAACGGGCATCTGGGGAGGGGTTTGGCTTTAAGTTGATTTCAGTTTGACTTGACAGTGTGGGACTTCATTTTATGGGTCTTCAAACAACACCTGTCGTTGTGGTCCCGTGAAAGTGTGTAGAAGGTGGTGCAGTGAATGCTAACAAGCCTCTTCTGCGCTTGTAGGCTCTCAGAGGCACAGAACTTTACAATGACGGCTTTCATTCTGTTCTGTGTGTGCCCCCCCCCCCCCGCGAGTTCAGCCACTTCCTGTATTTGGCTGCACATAATGCTTTTCTTGACAGGCATCTACTTCAATACTGCATGCAGCAGCCAGCTAGAGAGTCTATTTTAAGGCCACTTACAATGGTCTTCTCATTTCCTTGGCTGAAACAAGACCGGTTAGTCTTGCCTTGGCCACTTGTTAGCTGATGACAACTCTGACTTTGACTCCGGCCCCCCTCCCCCACCTGAAATCCCTTGCTCAGCAAATATTTGAACCTGCCCGAGTTAATCATGAAACTGAGATCTTTATCTCAGAGAGACGTGCAAGCTACAGAGGACTTCTTTTTAAAAAACTGTACTAAAATCAGTGATGAAATAGAAATGAGCAGATAGTCTTCCTAGAGCACTGAAGTTGTTTCTTTCCAAAGGTAAAAGAACTTGGAGGTTTTGAATTCTGCACAATGCAACTTTTTCTTCTGGATTAATGGACCCAGGAGAATAGGCTACACTTTTGAATATACCTCTTCCTGATTGTTTCAAGAGAACTTTTGGATTTAAGGATAATCTGTTCTTGGTTTTTGATTTATTTACTTTTAATTCTGTGGAACTGGGCAGAGACCACTTACAATCTGGAATGTTCATATTGTTGCATACAAGTTCTTAAAAGGGTGACGGGGTGCCATGCGCAGTATACAAAGTAAGTGACTTCTTGATTTGATGTTATTCTCATATACATATAGTTAAAGGAATCAAGTTTGTCGGGGAGTGCATGTGCATACATGTCTGTATGTATCTGTATTTGTTGTACGCTACAGTAAAACTGAATAGCAAATGAAATGTGCATAGTTAAAAATGTGATCGAGTGAAAGGTGATACCTACTCACAGTATGTGAGAACAGTGGAAAATCACCTGTTCATCAGTGTCTCACCTGTTCTGGTTTGCCACATGGTGTCACAGCAAGCTAGACTAGTTTGGGTATAAGCAGTAACCTGATCAGGCAAGTGTGACTGTCTAGGATTTATTCTGTAGGGGAACCTTGGTGAGCAAGCCCTCTTTCCTCCTTACCTCTGTTTTTCTTTTTAATGCTATTTGAAGAAAATGTCAATAAAAAGTACAGTAACGGCATCATCAGACTACAGACAACACTAGCTATGTGTGCTTTGAGTCTTTCATAACCTAATTTCAGCAATGTACCTTGGCAACAAAGCTATTTGGATAGCAGGTGGGCTAAACCCTCAAGTTCAATGTTTGGACTTGTGTCTGGGACTGGCTGAGTGTCCTGTTACGAGAGGCAAATGGAAGGAATCTCAGAAGGATGCCCACCTCAATGGATAGGAGTGGGAGGCTACTTCAGGATGAGTTTAGTGAGGCTGTTGCAGGGCAACAAATGTATGCCTTTTCTGGCTACTGTTGGTGCTGTAACCATGTCTATATATATTGGCTTATCTGGAAGCATAACATTGGGCAAGAGGTTTTTCATATGTGCTATGCTTTTGCAGAAGCAAATTAGCATTTATTTATGGCTTTTTGCAATATGCATCCTATATTTGAATGGCAGCAGTAGTACTAATGAGTTAAATACTTTCCATGTCTGGCTTTCTTTTACTGTAATAAATATTTAGAATACATCTGTTTGATAAGTTCTATAATAAGTAGGATTTTTTTTTCTTAAGAGGGTGGGCAAGAAATGACCACAAAAAGGAAGGTTTTTTTAGTTCACTTTTATTCAGAAACAGTCTGTAGGAGGGTTCTTGGGAATATCAAGTTTATTACAGAGAAAACTGCTGAAGAATTCTTACTTTTTAGAAATTACCAAAATGGCAAATGCCCTGATGAAAGCAGGTCAAAAGAAGATGCATGACTCAGGTGTAGTGAAATATTTCTCTGAATTTGCTAGGCATTTAATGGTTGAGAGGTTCGTATTCATTCTAAAGGAAGTTGTTTGACTTTCACTCATTGCAGTGCATACTTTTGAGGGGATTTGCTATTTAGGTTAATAAGCTAGATCGAAACTTAAAACAGGAAAGCAGAATATAATTTCAGCATACTTCATCAATGATTAGATCATTGTATTTGTCAACCATACTAAAAGAGGCATATCTGGGGGACATTTTATTAGTACAAGATATTGTCGCTCTTTTAAACATCTGGAGCACAACATTATGCAAAATGAACACTTGCAGGCTTTTCTCCACATCTGTCTTGAAAAAGCATCACAATAGATTCAAAGTGTGCCTTAATGGGCTACTTGATAGTAGGATACTGTAACAGAGAGGTGATCCAGCTCTCTGAAGACTAAGAAATCTACAGTATTGAAAGAAAATGCTTCCTGCTGCAGCCTATCAGCCTTTTGTCAACCTGCCAGCAGTGGAATGTACCAAGTAGCAGACAGAAAAGATTAAGGGGGTGGGCAAAAATCAGTGTAAACTGAAAACATGTTCAGTCTTCATAAATAAGATCAGGTGCCGATCATAAGTATCTTTTCTTTCTGAAATGACAATTGTTATAAGATTAACAATGAATAATGACAATGATGAAACAGGAGTGGTCCAGTGACATTATTTTTGACATGATTGGCTGGGGATTATGATGTAATAGGTTACAGTGCAGCCCCTTATAGGTTTTAAAATGAATTCCAAGACACCATTACAAAGAGATCCTGACTGTTTCCTTATAACTGAGCTTTCTCGCTGAACTCATACAAATGCACAGCACTGTCTGGAACATGGAAGAACTGGATATAGACTATCCTAGGACAGATATAAATTGTGGCACGGACTTGATGTTTTACATAGAAATGGACCCACCAGGTAATACTGCAGCATTATTGTTGAAGGCTGGCTTATTCTGGATGTTACAGTACCTATGCTGAGAGCTAAATCAGGTGCTCAGGGTTAACTTATTGTACTGTTGAATTGTGTTCATTGCATGGAAAAGGAATTAGGAAGGGGTTTTGCACAAAATTATTTTGGCCAGCTTAATGAAACTATAATTGTCATGTGATGTCTGTTTTAGTTTCTTCTCTCACCTGTAGGTCGGCTTGTAATACAGTAAAGCTAATCGTGCTTTCAGTAACATAACAAACACAAAATGCTTTGGGGGTGGGAGTTGGACATTTTGAATTAGGAAGTTACAATTGTTAAATCTGACCATTATTACTTGAAATCATTTAGTACAGGATTAGAAGATCAGTAACTTGTCTTAAACCACCAAAAATAAATCATTCTTGTTGCTTTCTCTCTTTAATACATGCATTGTTGAACATAAGCAGGATTGAACTTACCATTGAACTAAAAAGCTGGTTTATTTTTTGTTTTTTTAACCCTGTTTCCAGTGTTGTTCCCCCTTTAGCTAATAAGCTAGGAATGCTGCAGTATCTTCTCTGGCATTACTGGTATACGTATGCAGCTCTGACATTGAGCAAAAGGATGTGATTTTTTAAAATCAGTTTTGCCATTTAGAACAGCTTTATCATATAGAATGCTAAGATTAACATCAGTGACTATCTGGGTCACAGATGGGTTCCTTAAAGTGCTCTTTTTGGCAGATTATTATACAAAATGCAGAAGGATCAGAGAAACCCAGTTCTTTTCCTAAAATATACAGCAGTGTTGTGGATTTGCCGATTTGTTCTTAGCTACAGCACTACTGGAGCTCAAAAGCAAAAAATAATTCCTCTTGGATGATTAAATGCAGAGGGAAGGGAGTGGAGAAGAGTGCACAATAATTTTATCACATAAAATGATATAATATGCAGGATGGGAAATGGGGTTGATAAAAACTTCAGTTTATATCTTCTGAAACCTACGTTTCAGTTTGTTCTAGATGAAATGGGGGAAGAGCTGTTCTTCCTTAGTGGAGAAGACTTTGAGGTAACTGAGGCTGCAATTTTATGCCAGGGAAAGCCACAATGAAGACAATAGGGTTTGCTTATCTATATATGTATTTGTGTCAGATCTGCTAGTTTAGGAATTGTGTTGACAAGTTATATATGGAGGTTAGTGGGAAAAAATGAAAACTCAGTTAATAAAAAATAAATAATCCAAGCTGTAATAATGTGTTGCCTCTAAATAAATTTAAATTGATAATAGTGTAATTAACCTTTTCAGAACTAATGCTGTTTGTTGTATACAGGTAAGCTAAAGATTTTTCCCCTTTCATTTGCAGCACTGCCTCCTAAGCCTCCAAAGCCCAATACTGTAACAAGCAACGGTATGAATAACAACATGTCTCTGCAAGATGCTGAATGGTACTGGGGAGATATCTCAAGGTAAGAGCAAGAGGATGCCTTTTATCTTGGTGATTGCATAGGGCTTCTTCCCACATAGTCTGTTTAGAAAGGTAATTGGTGGTCCTTTTGAAACAGTTGCAGTGCAAGGCTTAGTTTGTACACTGTTAAAGCTTTAAAAAGTATGTCCACTAATTACAAATGTAAAATAAACCACAGATATTCTAAATATTTCTCTAATGTATTTAATATTTAATATACTGCACTTGCAAACATATCAGTAGTATCGATATATACTTTTAACATCTAAAACACTTGATGATGGAAGATCGAGAAGTGCAATGCTTCTCTAGCACTTTTCAGTGTTATTTGTATAGAGAAGAAAGTAGGCTACCATCAAATCCTTCCTTGGTATAAACTTCTTTTAACAAGGAAGAAAAGAACTATTCCATTTGATTAACAGTAATGGATAAAGTAAGAGTTCATAGGGAGCTTCTAAATGCTTATACCATATGAAAAAAGTAAATAGCAGGACCTATGTTCCTAGTAAAATGTTAGTATTTTAAAAAATAAGAAGCTAAATTGCATGTTGTTTTTGATTTATCACAGGGAAGAAGTCAATGAGAAACTTCGTGATACTGCTGATGGTACATTCCTGGTACGAGATGCCTCCACCAAAATGCATGGGGACTATACACTTACACTAAGGTAAAGACACTTGTATCAGATTATTCATTGACTCAATTTAAGAAAAGTTTTTGGCATAAATATGATGATTGATTTTTTTCCAAATTTAACCTACAGGAAAGGAGGAAATAATAAATTAATCAAAATATTTCACCGAGATGGGAAATATGGCTTTTCGGATCCATTAACGTTCAATTCTGTGGTTGAACTAATAAACCACTACCGGAACGAGTCTTTAGCGCAATATAATCCCAAACTGGATGTTAAATTGCTTTACCCAGTATCCAAGTACCAACAGGTAAAAAATTGTTCTTCTCCCCCAACCCTTTTGTTCATCTGCTTGAATATACTCTTAAGGTCATTTTCTAGCAAATATGCCTTAAATTACTTCATGAGGTATAGGAATGTAAGGCCTCTATAAATACTGTTGCTTCCCAAAAAGCATTTCAGTGCTGTGGATAATTTCCACTAGAAATTAACTGGTCAGTATCAGGTGCAGCAGGAGGCTCTGGCCTACGAGGAAAACTTCATGCTACAATAAGCCTATTCATCTTATGATGCCACAGGATGCCGCATTTGTCTTTGCTGCCAGAGAAATAATACAGCTCCACTCCTGGAATGTGCATTATTATCCAAATAACCTTCTTGCTGATCATTAGAATTTCTTTATTTATATAATGTGCAAACTCCTGGAGAAGCTGTGCTAGGAATTCTGTGAGTAAATCTCAGCATAAGCTTTTTCTTGAAGCTTGGTTACCTATGGTTGCCCTTGATGAATAGGTACGCTCACTCCATACAAAAAAACATGTATGGAATATGCCTGCCTTTGGTGGCAACATTATAAACAAAGTGTCCAGTCATATGCTGAATCCCTTAATCTTGCTATAGAAAGATTAACACAAGGATGCACATTCTTTTACAAATGGCACCCTTTAATTACTGTTTTATGAAAAACATTGATACTGTAAGAAGCTGTGTCTTCGTTGGGTATTATTTAATTTATTTATCTTCCCAGGATCAAATGGTTAAAGAAGATAGCATTGAAGCTGTTGGAAAGAAATTACATGAATATAATATCCAGTTCCAAGAGAAGAATAGAGAGTATGACAGACTCTATGAAGACTACACAAGAACATCTCAGGTAAACAGTGTTCAGTAGCAACCATAAGGACCTTAAATAAGGCTCGTGGCAGCTTTATTTGAAGGTTAAGGGCACAATCAATACCTTCAGCATGACCGTCTTGAGAAAGCTGGGATCTGTATGAATTTTTTCTGTCTATACTTGCATAGGATTTTGCCCTACTTCTCAATTTTTCAGAAAATTGAATGCAAAGCGAGCTTTTGGTTCATGTTTGGGAAAAAAATCTACACAGTCTAAATAGCTGAAAAGATTTGAATGTCAGTTTCACTTCTAAACTATTGGTCTAATTTAGTGATATGGGAGCAGCTAAATGCTCTTATGGGCATTTGGTGTGCGAAATACCCATTTGCTTGGCAGGGGTTGTTTTCCAATCAGAACTAGGTGCTTTACCACAATAATTAATTAGCAACTTTCATAATGATGGTACACTCTTTATACAGGACAGCAGGAAAATTAACATTATCCACATGTAACTGTGATTTGGCAGGGAAATACCAGGCTGATAGAACTGCTTTATAGGTACAAGAGAACTCTCTTACTTGTAGAGGGTTTCAAGGGTTTACCTAGAGATGGGATTTTGTGCCCAGCCTCTGGTGTGATACGTGGGGAGTCTTTTTATGATATTTTCAGCAGTAAAGCAGTAGAGAAGGGTAGAACCGTAGGAAATTTAACCAGTTACTCAGATGATCTTAACGCTGGAATAAACTGTGTGTACAATTAAAAGTAGAGCAAATGCTGAGTGTAAATATTGTAACGCTGTACCTATCCATAAAATTCATTCCCTTTCCTGTAAACTTGCATAAATACAGTACATGTTAGAACTATTACTTGAAGCATACCCAAGGGCTAATACATGCCTCAGAGTGTTTTCTCATTTATTTTTTCTCTTTGAACATTTGATGTCCACAGAGACTGCTTTTGAATATCCCAACACATTTCAAAAGCAGGTTGCCCTGGGGAGGGTGCTGGGGCTACTGGTCAAGAAGTACAAGTCAGCTGAAGGGGAGGTACTGCTTAGGGGTACAGTACGTGCTGTGCATGCACAAGGTCTGAGGTTCAATTCCCCACTGGGAAAGACTGTTCTCTGAAAGCCTGGGAAGCCATTGGAGGTTGTACTAAGAAAAATGTAGGAGAGGCCTAATTCAATATAAGGCAGCTTTCTTTGTTCTATGGCCAAAGTCCATGCATTAGAAGGATGTACAGATAGCTACTTCTGCTGCTTTACTGATATTTGAAGAAAAAAATCTGCCACATATGTGCTTCAATAAGAGAATAGCCAATCACCTTTAGATTTTTCTTCCCTTCAGGAAATTCAAATGAAAAGAACTGCTATCGAAGCATTTAATGAAACCATAAAAATATTTGAAGAACAGTGCCAAACACAGGAGAGATACAGCAAAGAGTATATTGAAAAGTTCAAAAGAGAAGGAAATGAGAAAGAAATACAAAGGTTGGTAGTTGTTTAATATTTTAAAATGCAAACATTTTCCGTAGAAATTTCAATGCTGAGCAATGCCTAAGAAAATGAACAGACTCTAACATGCAAAATCATATTCTCCAGAATTATGCACAACTATGAAAAGCTCAAATCTCGAATCAGTGAAATTGTGGACAGTCGGCATAGACTGGAAGAGGATTTAAAGAAGCAAGCTGCTGAATACAGAGAAATTGACAAACGCATGAACAGCATTAAACCAGACCTCATACAGCTCAGAAAAACTAGAGATCAGTACTTGATGTATGTACTAATACGTTGCCAGACTTTAAGTGAACTTCTTCTATAGAGTCCAATTTTTATGAATTTTACCATGACTAACCCTGTCTTCAAAACTGCTTTCCAGGTGGCTGACTCAGAAGGGTGTTCGGCAAAAGAAATTGAATGAATGGCTTGGCAATGAAAATACAGAAGAGTAAGTCTTTGAGCATTTCTGTTACCTCACTTAGATTTTCACTGGTGGAATATAAAGCATCTAACGCTGTACGTTAAGAATTGTAATACCTTGTTTCACCTGGAAAACCAGCTTGGGCATTTCTGCCAATGGGAGTCTAGTGGTTTAAGATGAAAAAAGAAATGTATCAATAACTGAGGTTTCTAATTCTCTCACTTATCACAAGCTTACTAAAGTATGAATGAAAGAACCTTAAAACAATATTTGAGTGCTAGTGTTTGAAGGGTGTTCAAGGAAAGGGACAGTAACTCAAGGGCAGAGGACCTGCTTTGCATACAGAAGCCTCTGGGCCCAGCTGTGGCATCTCTGAAGTAGCAAGTAGTGATGCCATCCACCACTCTTGGCAGGTATCGCAGGGTCTTCATGGCTGGGATTCTGAGGGAGGAGGAAGAGACCTTGAGGAAGTAGAGATGGGAGTTTTGGGAGCCCAGGAAGAGGCAGCAGGCCCTTGAAGTGCCATCAGGGTCACTGCCCACAGGTTCACAGGCTGACCAGGAGGGTAGGAATGTTTTGGAAAGAACAGGAGGGGTCAAAGTAGGAGAGGAGAGAGAGTCATTCCTTAGCCTTAGCCTGGGCTGGTCCCTGACCCCATGATAAGGCATTGGGAGGGATGAGCTGCCAAGTTAGAGGGCTTGCTTAAGTCTTGCTGGCTGGCCCTTCACCAGCAGAAGCCATGCTGAGGGTGGAGCCCACAGTTACTGAAAGGGAAGGATTTTGGGGAGAAGTCCCCAGTTTGGCTTCAGCACTCTTCACATGAGCAGAGACTTATCTTCCTAGAGGGCTTTTGGAGTTACTTTGTCTTATAGCTGCAAAGTGCCAATAAAGATCTGCATTGCAAGAGACCGTCTGGTGTTTTGGAGCCTAAGGGAAAGGGAGAGTCGAGACATGACAGCTAAGTGGAGCTAGCAAAAGATCTTGTCTGGAACCAGGAGAACTGCTGCCTGTCAGTCTTGACAGCACTGAGCTAGATGGGCCAATGGCATTATTCATGATGAGGCAGCTTCCTTTGCTACTCTGTCCAGTGTTGTACCACATCACTGCTGAGTATTGCAAAACGTATGACGCAGTTAACCAGAAAAACAAGGCAAATAGCAAAATTCACAATAATTAATTATTTATTCGATAATACCTAGGGGAAAACATCCTGTGCTGCTTTACTCCTGGTTATCATGAACAATCTAGATTGCTTGTGGTCTGGCCCAACTGGTTTGGAAAGCAATTTGATGATTGTAGATGTCTCATGATCTACAATATTGCCATGATCTACAATATTGCCAATATTGCCATGAGTGGTGGCAATACTGGAAGAGCTGAATGGAAACTATGTAAGAATATTACATTTAAAAAACATAATATGAATTTGACAAAAATCTCATTAACTTGTTGCATTAAAAAGTTGTAAGCAGCCGTTCTTTGCTTTCTAGAGTCAAACAAGTCTGCATTTGTGCTTGTAAGACAGCTTGTAAGAAGATAAAGAGTTTGAATCTTGTTCTCACTAAGGGGTTCTACTTAACAAAGCTCAAAGAGCTATCTTTTAAGTCCTGAAATTGGTTGAGAGAAATAAATAAAAACCAATTAGTTACTGGTTTATTGATTATTATGTGTTGTTTTTAATTAGCCAATACTCTATGGTAGAAGATGACGAGGATTTGCCTCATCATGATGAGCAAACATGGAATGTGGGAAATATCAACAGAAGCCAAGCTGAAAATTTACTACGTGGAAAACGAGATGGAACATTCCTTGTTCGGGAAAGTAGCAAACAGGGTTGCTATGCCTGCTCAGTTGTGTATGTATTCAAATGTTTTTGCCCTATTTATGAAGCATTGAATACAGCGTGCACTTAATCCCACCTATTTCTCATCCCATATCTGCTGCGATTTAATCCCCCTCTTTTGGTGATCATCTAGACTTCATGTCCAAACCCTTGTTTGTTTGGATTGTCTTTCAAGTGGTTATTTTAATGTAATTTTGATGACTTGAAAAACATTTGCCCACATGCACCTTGAGTCTTCAGGGTGCAGCAAGGTATAAATCTAGTTAAAATTTATTTATCTTTGTACTTACCAAATTTTGCAGTGGTACCAATTTATTGGTCCCATCACCAGATCTTAGTTATTGATCTGTTTATTCACCATGCTGAAGGAAGACTCTGTGCGCATCAGTGCTTTATACTGTTTCCTTATTATTCAGAATTTGTTGGCTTGAGTTGTTTTTAAATGCTTTCTGAAGTTTTCTGCAAACATGGCTGATGATTTGTGCTACAGTGCCTAACTTTATTCCTGGGTGCAGACATTAAATTGTGTGTGTTCTTTATCTTGTTAAGTGGATGACTCAGTTGTAAGTGGATGACTCGGTTGTACAAAATGTTATGTAAGTTGAACAATACAGTCCTGTAAGTACCCATGGGCTATATCCAGTTGGTATTCCTCTGCTGACAGAAGACTCTTGGATCAGGGGAGAAGCTTCTGCCAGCACAACTGGAGGGGCGAGGATTGTGATTTTCAGTGGCTCCACTTTCCAAAGCCTCTTGTATCACCCCCTTCCTTCTCTGAAGTATTGGGGGCTGCAAGGACAAGGGGAGCAGTAGTATCTTGCTGCCCAATCCCTGTCCATTGGCAAGCATTTCCATTGGATCAAAGTCCTCTCCTGCTGGAGGGATGCCAGTTGGATGTAACCTACTAAGTTCAGTGAGACTTCCATGTAAGTGTGTATAGGATTACAGTCCAGTACCAGTAAGGAACAATCTGAAAGATGTTACTCTCTTACACTTAAAGATGTAGCTTTATTTACCTGTGTTGGAAATATGGAATAACAAGTATTATTAATTTAACACAAATAAAATAATGGAACTAATTTTAGGCTATGCAGAAATAATGGATAAAAGGATTTTTAACATCCTGTTGAAAAAGCAAGTTGAATAAGAAAAAATGTAATTTCCTTGGAAAAACATTAAAAGAGTTTCTTTTCTCCCTCTTTCCAGTGTGGATGGTGAAGTGAAGCACTGTGTTATCAACAAAACGCCTACCGGGTATGGATTTGCAGAGCCATATAATTTGTACAACTCCCTGAAAGAACTGGTGCTACATTATCAACACACATCGCTAGTGCAGCACAATGACTCTCTCAATGTCACACTAGCCTATCCAGTATATGCACAGCAGAGGCGATGAAGATGTTAATACGCTGGGTTTTGTCTCTTTTAATGAAACACCCACAAAGAAAATTCAAGAATCCTGAGGCCTATGGGTAGGGAAGGCTCTTGAGTTGGGCTAAGGCATCAAAGCCATCTGTCTTCAGATGGGACTGAAGCTTTCTTCACAACCGCAGTGGGAGAGATCGCAGGAGAGAGCTGTGAACATACATTTCTAGTCTAAAGTGCTTTTTTAATTAAAAAACTAAGCAGAGGCAAAAAGAAAATCCAAGAGCGAAGTGCTATACCTGTCTCCCTGCAGGGACATAGAGGCCTTTAACCATGGTGCTTGCTGACCATCCCTTTGAAGCTTTAAGAGCTCAAATGTTGGGACTCTGAAGACCGCAAAGTTGCAGCAGGAGCTGTGTAAATGGCAGCAGAATTTCTCAGTCGTGACTTGGGTGATGCAGCCGTGTGCAGTGGATGCAGATGCCCAGCGTTGTGGATTGCTGGTTTTCTGGTGAATGATATGTAGCAGAATGGCACTTTCATTTTTAAGGGACACTTTAAAAGACTTTGACAGTGTGTTCATCGGAGTAATGGACGTGGAAATAGAAGTGCCAGGAAGTGTTTTGTTTAGACATTTAAAATCCTGTTTTAAGAAGATATTTAAGACTGAATAAATGGACTATTATGATATACAGTATAATATGTACATAGTTCTGGATGACTAACTATCATAGATGGATACTGTCAATACCAAGCTCATTCTGTTCATTATTTGTTTTACCAAAAGCTGAACCCTTACACTGCTATGCAATACTTCATTTTCTATAGGGTGTATTTGTCTCAAGTGTAACTAGAGGATAAGCTTTTTTCTTTTTTTTTTTTTCCTTTTTCTCATCTCGAAACGTTCCCTTAACTAATATTTTTGTGGTAATTTTCATTTTGTTCATTCTCTCCCCACCCCTTTTTATTTTAGAAACAAATGTACAGGACATCAGTTAAAGTTGGCTTGAAAATTAAAACTATGAACTACTTTAACAGGGTTTTTCCCCTTTGTATAGAGCATTGGGCTGTTAGCTCAAGGTTAAAATTCAAGATTTCTTTTTTTTTTCTTTTTCTTTTTTTTTACTAAATTTTTGTTGGGCAGTGCCTGATAAGCTTCAAAGCTGCTTTATTCAATAAAAATATATGAACTTTGCAAAGTATCACTGAGTCCAACAATATTGTTTGAAAAATACCTTCCAATTATGGTTTCCCATTACATTTGATTCAGTTTTAGATTTCTGTCCCAGTTGTGTTTGTATTTGGAAAACGTTTCCATCTTATTTTGAAAGCTGTAAATGAACAGATGGAAAAAATGACTACTAGAGTAGTTAAATTTAACTCTTCAACCTAAATCATGTGATTTTTTAATGAATTGTTCTAGACACTGAATCAAGGTACTTTCTATATCACATGGGAGACCATTTTTGGATTTTTTTTTTTTTGGTTTTTCATCTTTAAGTACGTGTGCATTTGGCTTCTATATTTCATATTGTTCTGAATAATGAAATGATAATTTTAAGAAGTCCTGTTTCTGTGACATTTATTTCCCACAATTACTATTTTGTTACTTTTATATCTATTAAGTAAAAAACAGAAGTTGTCATCTGAAAGGGCAAAAAATATTAAATACCATTGTAGTAAAGGTAATGAAAAAACATAAAACCTCAGTGTTAGTATTGCACCAAATTCTGGATTTCTTGAATAACACAATAAAAACATGCTTGCATTTTATCTTTTGCAGATTGATATTAAGGAATTCTGGAATATTTTTTTCATTTTTCATCAATTAATAGCAAAAAGAAAATAGAGATGTGGAGCTCCTTATGATTTAGGCAATCTGTGCTTCTTAAAATGAGGCATTTAACAACTACTTGTAGATATTTTTTATTGTTCGATAACATTATGAATAAATTAGTTTGGTTCCCTCTGTTTTTATTTACCAGTATCATTTATATCTGATGGTGCATGAGGAGTTTGTTTATAACGTGTTGACTTTGCTTTCCTGAGGAATGCAGTTTATTTCAGCATACTTCAGGACTGAGTTCAAACCCTCTTTGAATGCCAGTGTAGATTTTGCCAGCTTTAAGTGAAGCTTTGATAGGAGTCAGGTTTGCAGCTGCAGGAAATCCTCTTGTACTGGAATAGTCTGACTAGAGTCAATGGTACTACTCCAGGAATACCCAGGAGGAAGTGGACTGAAAATTTCATTTCATCTCAAGGAGCAAAGATCAACTCAAAAACTTACTCTAGTTCTAATCCATTCATTTATTCTTCCCCACTAGACTTCTCAAGAGTAAGAAAAGACATGCACATGTTCTGATTATTGTTCCTGAAGGGCAAATCATGACAGGTCACTAAATGGAAAATAATTTACTGTTGTAATATGACCAAATGCACTTTGACAGGGAGAGATGAATGTGCATCACTGAGTTCCCACACCTGCCAAGTCAGACAGAGCACTGTCTGTTCAGCTCACCTGTTTGGCAGGGAAAAGAACCTGAATGTAGGTTCCTTTGGAGAGGGAAAGATGAGGCCTCTCACTCCAACTGATCAATACTTCAGTTTTACCCTTTCTGCTTGGTGCTTTGCAGCATTACCAATCCTATTCTGGGAACCACATTTGCTGGGTTGGATACAATGGTTGAGCCTTGGAAACTCCCTTTTGGATTGTGTTTGGTTTCCTGTTGAGATGTACACATATGTAAAAAAGCTACTTCTGTGCATGGATCTCTCTGATTCTGGATGCAGAGAGAGAGAACCAAAACTCTTGAGCTACAAAGTTAACAGGGCTTCTGGAATATGAGCTCCCATGTTTATTTCATGAATACAGCTACTACAGACAAAACAAGTTATGGGTTCCTTAACTTGAGGCTTAGATTTGTGGTCTCTAGTGTACTTCTATATATATCTGTGTGTTTAAAAGAGAGAAAGTGAATGTGCCATGCTCTAACTGCAGTTTTCAGTGAATCTAGGCATGTGGTGAAACTTTTCTTCAAAATTCCCATTTCTCTAAACATCCTGGACAGGCTGGGCTGGGCAGTGTTCTTAATTGTAATCTAGTGTTTGGATTTTATTGTCATTTTATGTGCCGTTAGCTGCCCTGGGGGCTCTCTAAACCATTTGACAGGTGATGCTTTATAAGAATCACATATAATCGAAGTCTGGTTATTGGAAGTTTGTATTAATGGAGTGCTCTTCACATGGAGACAAATTCAATTCAGATAAGTTGGGTTTTCTTTTATATGGAGTAAGGCTGCTGTCCATGCAGTTGCTATACTAAAGTTAGCACATTTTAACATCTCTAACCTGTATTTGAAAGGAATAAACAAGTGTTTTTTCCCAAACTAGATCTTCACTAGTGAAGAGTGAATGACATAGGTGCATCTGACTTTAAATTCAAGTAACCTGTTTGAAAGGCATAGGGAGCTTGGAAAGGTCACTTTTTAAAAAAAAAAAATGTTTTAATGTGTGAAGCCAAATCTTATGTTTCAGTGTCTGCTGTTATATAGAAAAGTGGCTTTGTCTTGTACTTTAAAATGAGCTATGATGCTGGGGGGAGGGGGATATCATTCCAATGTTTTTCAGTGGGGAGAACATTGGTAAGATTTAACACAGTGCTTTTGCTATGCATGGTATTTGTTTGGGAAAGCGATTCCTAAGGTGGCTTTTGTTCAGGTTCGCTTTCAGAACGGGCACTTCTAAGCACAATGCCTCCCATGGGACATGGTTCAAAATGCAATATCCTGGTTTTAAAATATTTGTGTAAAATGGGCCAGATACAAAAAATGGGAAAAGTTACATTGCCATGTGTCCCTATGAGACTGCATTAGCTGCCCAAGATGCTGCTATTTTTATTCTTAGATCCCCTCCCCTAAAAAAAATTAAGCTCTCTTTTGTTAAATGTCTTTACAACATTGAAATTTCTTTGTTTTTAATGTTTTTTTAGGGAGGCAGAGACTAAATGGATTAGCTGTACATTGCCTTTAAAAGGCAATAATAACCAATGCGCCTCCTTAAAAAATGTTGTGGGCTTTCTGAAATTGATGGAGCTGTGTCCTGTTTTTAAGTTGCTTTTAAAAATGTACTGGGTCTTCAACCAGAATAAAGGTTGTTTTGAAACTGCACTTTATGCTTTGATTCCTCAGTGAGAGCATTAACTGAATCTCTTACATGTCTGTTTTTCTGATGTATAGCTGGTAGTCAAAAGAAAGTAGATGGTGCTAAGGTTTAGTTCCACCCCCGAAATAAATCCCAGATATGAACGTGAATTAACTCACTGAGATTGTGTTCCTAGGCACTGGGGGGAGTGGGGGTGGGATAAGTTCATGCTGCTGTTCTCCTATCCCACCACCACCATGAAAAGGCAGATGTGGACATGGAGAGGAAACCCACCATTGCACATTTCCTCCTTGCCACTCTGACAGTTGTACCAGCAAAGAGGGGACACAACATGAGAGAATCGAGGATGTTTTGTCCGTACCAGCTGAATTCAAAGCCCACCCATTATCTTTACACCACCCAGGATGGATCATATCAGCCCCGGAGCTCTTCCTTCTCCACGAATTCTCAGCCTAACCAGCCGCTTTGAGTTGCTGTGCTTGCTTAATACCATGGTAGTTTCAGTATTTCCAGTTTATGGCATGGGTATACTCGCCTTTATTGATACTATGGATAGAATACCACCTGCTGTATTGGATTAGGCAACATGGTGCCCTCCAAATGTGATGGAACCCTCATGATTCCTTACCACTGGCCATGGTGGGGGCTTATGGGACTTGTAGCCCAAAACCTCTGAAGACTTCATGTTGCTTACCTGTGTACTAGGTGGCATTGCTGTACATCTGCTGTCACCCAAGTGGCTGTTGAAGAAAACATGAGATTACTGATTGCAGACTCTTATCCAGTGAAACCATGATCCAGAATCACAGTGGGGAACTAACAGGCAATGCAGGATTGCATTTCTCTAACCCTTTACCAAATGGCAAATCACTATGGCAAATCAAAGGACTTCTGAAAGCAGCTTATGAGACAATGTATGTGCTCACACAACATGACAAGCAACAGGGGTTTTGTTACCTTTTTTTGGTCTGTCATGTCATTCAAACTCTGTCATGGTATTTCAGTGTTTGGTTTGAGAAGCCACAAACATAAACAACCGTCTGTTCCATGGTTTCTTTCACAACTACCAAGGACCATAGAGCTGCTTGGCAAGAGCGGCCCATTGCCCATCACCCCTAACAATAGCGCACCACTGAGTGCTGCCATTTTGCACAGGCTACTGCACACAGCATGGAGGAGGAATGCTGTGCAGCATTCGCATGGACCTCCATTCCTAGCAAGCGCTGTGCAAACAACCTCCTGCTCCATGTGCAACAGCACAAAGGCTGCTGCATGCGGTGTGGAAGACAGATGCTGCTTGCACAGCACACGGGGCGAGAGTCTTAGTGAGCACCGCACAAGCACTGGGCGCACTCAACAGCGCACGAACTCAGCCTTGTCAGAGTGGACCAGAATCCAGGGAGCCAAGTCCAGGGATTCCAATGGATTCCCACCTCCAAAACAGACTCCTCACACATCTCTGCAAGAGGGACAAAAGTACATTCCTTCCAGGTAGACCTGCACCTTTAGCCAAGCTTTGATAATGAAGGGTGGAGATGGAAGTAGTGGGTGTTCCCATTTCATCATCATCTGTATGCCATTCTGCAGTGCCCAAACCGTGCTCCAAGTGGCTTAGAGGGAGTGCCCTACACCGGAAAACATTTAACAGTGAAAAGTCACACTGAAATGTAAATAGCTATACATGCAGGTGAATAGACACCAAGATTACCAAAACAGTAATAGCTCATGTTAAGTCCAGAGAAGCAATATAATTTTAAACAATCTAAGGGTTATTAGAGAAACAGTAACAGAAGAAGCAGGCTTTATAGCTAGAGAATGCTGGCATAAAAATGAGAAAAAAATGCAGTCTGTTCACATTTAATTTTTATTTTCCTTACCTTGAAATTTATATAAGAAATTAGTATAAATGCACAGAAAAAACAATAAAAATATTTAATATATTTTTAAATGATTATTGAATGTTTCTTATGAGTTGTTGCTAATCCTTTGAAAACACATTCATTAATATTTCTTCTTGGATATGACTTCAAATAGGGAATAGGTTAAATACTGCAATGAAAACAAGCATGTTCCAAGTGCAGGCCTGTAACAAATTAGCAAGGCAAGCCTTAAGGAGCAACCGGGCGTGGGGTGGAGAGGGGGAAGTTTCCCATCCTAGCTTAAAGGATAGGCAGCCACTGTTCCTTCACATTTCATTCCACCTCCTCCTCCCCCCCAGTATTGTGACCATTTCACAGATATGTCTCTCCTGCTCTTAAGAGGTCAGAACAAGTCATAGGGGAATTGTCATTGCTTCCTTGCAGCTCTGTCATGCAGGATAATCTGAGAATATGCCAGGGGTGGCCAGACTTGCTAAACGGAAGAGCCACATACGGTAAACGTTTGATGCTTGAGAGCCACAGACGGGCACCAAGGGTGGTGGAGGCAGCAGAAGGCAAGCAGGTGCCCCTGGGCACCCACTGCAGCAAGTGGTGAGCTGCCAAATAAACCCCAACAGCGGCATGCGGCTCCTGAGCCTCGGTTTGGCCACCCCTGGATTATAACCTTGATGACTCAGCAACGCTGTTCCTATTCCCCCCTCTCGTTTCCCAGATTAAGCCTCACCCTTCCTTTCTGCTCCTTGCAGCATAAGCTCCCTTGCTGTCCCACTGACAGCACTGGGAATTCTCCTACACTTTGTACTACAAAAAGCAGCCTGTGTGTTTTTGTTAATTCAATAGGCACCCGGTAATAAAGCGATTTTTAAAACCCCATGTAATATTGCATTAGAATCAGTAACTTTTCTCTGGATAGGTTTGCACATCATGACAAGCAAGGGTGGGAACTTACCAAATTTTCCCAAACTGGTGATCACAAAGCTCAGCAGCTTCCATTGTTGCCTGCTCCCCTCCCTCATCCTCCCACTCACCACATATCCCAGCATCCCCCACAAGCAGCATCCCCTTCTTTACTACATTGCTCTCTAGCTATCTCACCTGACTCTTCCTGATTGGGTTGTGGGTTTTCCTTCTCCCCCTTCCTGATTGTATCTTCATCTCTTTAATGCTTCCTAGCCAACCCAACCTCCAAAGTGCTTTCTCTCTTACACTAAAACAATCACTTTCGCTGTGGTTTCCCCCCTTCTCCCTCCATGCATTTACCTGCTTTCTACATTGTGTAGAAAACAGGATGTTAGCTCCAGCACCTAGCCAACAGGAACAAAGCAAAGGATGACGTGTCTTGCTAGGGTGCTGTGGACAGCAGAGATCAAGTGCTTGGAGTGGCCTGTTTGTTGCCATTCCTTCCACAGGACTCTATGATTTTTTCACCATGAACAGAAAAAAGAGCTCTCATGCCTGGTCATTTCGACAGACCATCATGGTAAGTAGAAACCACACAACAGGCCGTTGTTTCTTATCATGCTTTTCCTGCCTGAAACAAGCCATGGTGAGATGCCATGACTAGGCCATTGCTGTGGACAACAAGCCCACAAAGGAAAAAAGCCATGATTGCTTGTTGTCACATGCAACCCCCCCCCGCCCATCTTTTCAAGACGTAGAGCCCATCTGTGACTTAAAGGAGGAACACCTGGGACATTCTAAACTAGCCTTCCCCAACTCAGTGCTCTGGAGGTACCGTATTTTTCGCTCTGTAAGACGCACCTGACCATAAGACGCACCTAGTTTTTAGAGGAGGGATCCATGGAAAGCTTCCTGATAATCACAGGCACATTCCCCATAACTTCCCCGTGGGCTTCATTAAAAGACGGGTTGCCATTTGAAAACACACACCGACCTGTGATTAACAGCTCTCACCTGCGCCGGAGGAGGGGGGCGGAGCAGGGCACGCCGAGCGCGTGCCAGCCAGGTGTGGTGCAGCCGGGCCGGCAGCGTGCCGGCGGTGGTCTTCCGGGTGGTGCAGCGGCGGCAGGTCTTCCCGGGCGGTGGGGGTGAGCAGTCCGTCTCTCCGTGTGGCTGGCAGGTTAAAGCTCGCGGCTCCTCCTCCTCCATGGCAGGTCTTCCCGGGCGGTGGGGGTGAGCAGTCCGTCTCTCTGTGTGGCTGGCAGGTTAAAGCCCGCGGCTCCTCCTCCTCCGTGGCAGGTCTTCCCAGGCGGTGGGGGTGAGCA